CAGGCAGCCGGCCGGGGCCGGTCCTGCCGCCCCAGACCCCCGCGGTGCGGGGTGAGAGCCGCCCGCGTTCCCCAGGGAGAAAGCGAGGGGCGGCACTTCCCTGCGGTGTCACTAGGGGATGCTCCGGGCTCGCTTCTGCGAAGCGCCGTACGTGGTAAGGATGGGGTAAATCTGTGCCAAACCGTGGAATCAACCTGTTTCCTGAAGGCACTTCAACGTCGTTCGTTCACGGGTGGTTTTACAAATACATGTCAACGATCTCACAAAGGGAGTTGTAGCAACAAAAGAAACAGAGGAACCTGTCTGAACACAATTGCTTTTGAAGACAAATTCAACAGGCTAAAAATTACCTACTTTTTCCTGCACTAAACAAATCTCGTATTACTCTTATTCCTCTCAGTAGGATACTCTAATTTACTTTTTCTCATCACCCAGCTATTAAAAGCAAACAAAATGCATTCAGTTGTAAACCTTAAAGAGATCCAAACTCAAGATATTAGATCGTATCTTCCCTCTGAGTAATATATTGGTATCTTGAATTATTTAAATCTTAACTGAGGCAAACACATTAATAGAAAAAGTCACATTTAAAGCATTTATTTTGAAAAATAAAATACAAAAGATCATTGAATTGTAATTGTACATGTAAACTATTAATTTTTTTTTAAATAAAAGACATTTAACAATTTCCACATGTGAATAAAACAAACAACTGTTCCACCAAAAATCTTTTAGGACAAGCACAGACCACTCTTTTGAAAGCTTCATACATTTAAAACCAAACTGCTACAGGAAAAAAAAGTATCTTTGAAGATGGAGTTTTAGAATCAAGACAGAATAGCAATTTCTGAGACAGGCATTGCTTTGCATTTTTTAAAACCTTAAAAAACAGTTGTGCGAGTGTAATACAGTTCTACATTAACATCAGTGATTTTTTTTTTTTTTTTGACAGGTTTACATGCGCTCACAACAACAAAATTTTGAACAAAAACAGTATGAAAGAAATGGGGGAGAAAACTCTGAAAAAAGCAGGCCGTGAGCAGTACACCTCACTGATCTCAGTGGGACAGTCCTTATAAGATCATTTCCATTGAAAGGGCAGCAGTCTTCTAAAGAAAAAGAAAAATAAAAGTTATGTTTGAGCTTTCAATGTAATATTCTGGTTTTATCCCTGACAACATTTTGTAATTACAAATAATGCATAAGTGTAATCACTTATCTCAGTAGGTGAAAAGTCACTGTCAAGACTAACCACAGCCATTAAAAACTTTCCTGTAAGGAATGTGGCTGCCTTTTCCATCATTTATCATTAGAGTTCCTTCTTGGAGCACATTTAGATGTAAAAAAAAAAAAATCTGAATTTCCACTTACATTCAAAATACTTGTGAAAGTGGGCTGCATTTACACGCTGAAGTGTCTCTCTCATTAGAATGTACCAGTGGTAGTTACTGCTGGGACATTAACAATTTGGTTTCTCAGAAACTGGACAGCAGCTTTAGATAGAAATACTGTAGTTTTAAATACATTTTTCAAAGAGGTATGTGGCAAAATGAAGTAGATGTTATAGTCATTTTAACATTGCCTACATGAAAAGATTATGGTTTCTCTACCGATTTCAGAATGAAGACCTGCAATTAATCTTTGGAAAACTTTTATATCCATTATTTCTAATTGGTGCTTTTGGCTATATTTAGGGCTATAGAGTCCTATGTTTATGGCCACATCATAAATATTTATGCTGGGTATATTTGTGTGGCATGTTGCTTTTGGCTATATTTAAACTGGATGCATTTTGTCATCTTTTGTTGTCAAGCTAGAACATTTGATAACACAGTTGACAAGTAAAAATCCTGGATTCATACAGTAAATCTTGCACCATTCGTTCGTTGACTAGTCTGGAATTTACCGAGTTCCCTGCACAATCCTGCCATTGTTAATTCAACAACTAAAATGCAGTTTATTGAAAATACTGGCTATGGGACATAGCAAAAGCAAATTATACAAATCAGCTCATCTTTAGCAGTTTCCTCTGTCTAGAAAGGGCAATTGATTTAAAAACGAAAGACAAGACGATTAAAAGTCATCTTTAAAGTTTCACTATTGTGTTAAAATGGGGACCTGAATCTGTTGTGCAAGTATGCCATAGTGCTGAAAGACACACAGATGCTAAAATGAACAAGAAACTCTGCTGAAGAATGCCTGGACAAGCAGTGATACAGTTTTATCTACTCCTTTCAATTTCAAGTTCTAAAATAGCGCTGACAATCCAATACTGCAAATTGTGATGAGCCACGTAGAACTGCACTATGATTCTCAAAGCACATGAACTATGCTTTGTAGCTCTCACCACTAGGACTTACCTCAATGTGATTTTTACAGATTCTGAATCAAGATCCGTATCTTCATATTTTTCTTACCCAGAATCTTACATGGAGTTACGTAAGTTTAAAAAAATCACCTTAACTAAATCAAGACGAGCAAATGAGCAGGACTGCATACTCTTTTATTACCTTCTGTGCAAGAAATATCCATTGTATCTTCTATTCCATAGGTTCAGTCTGTCAAGTAAATAATTAAAATGAAATTAGCTATTTTACATTAGAGGGAAAAATATCATTATCAGCACCAATGTTTGTCCTCAAAACCATCTAGCTGTTTAGTTACGTTAATTTTATCTTTAGTATAATACTAAAGGAGAACACTATCAGCATCAATTTCAACTCCAGCATCAGTTTTTATGGTTTAAGCAATATTCTCTTACTATTTCACAAAGCTGATTTTTGCTTTTTAGATCATCTTTGTTTACTTTGGATAAATCTGCTCAGAGTTTGGTAAATAATGTCATCGTACCAAGCTAACTGTATAAATCCACCTCCTGAAATTTAGCAGAGTCCCATTCTGAAACCTCCCTATCATACAGATTGAAAGAGGACATTTTACTAATAATAGTGGACCAAGTTCTTTTGATGTATCACAAGATGATTGGAAAATACAAACAGCATAATTTAACTAACAGATACTGTAGGCAGACCAGGGATCATTTCTTTTGCTAGCACACTATCTATACACAGTGTGCTAAATTTTAAAGATAGCTCATCTCCCTGCATTTTCCAGAAATCCTTATCAGCAATATTTAATCTCCTTCTGTTCTGACACACCCTATGCTTGCAGCCATACATGCTGCAACTTTATCTGTAAGGTTGTAGATAATCTCGAAATAACCACAATAATTGCATTTGAAAACATTAGAAATAACTACAGCACACTTTCTCAACACGATTTGCTGACAATAACTTTTAAGCAGCACACATTTAAATAGTTGTCTTGCCGTTAAGCTGCATAGACATTTTGGCCAGCAGTTGAGAGTGAACAATGCTGTGAGCAACAGCACATTTAGCTGCATGGTGCCAGGTTCTTAATGGTTTTCTATTAGCTGAGCACAACTTGCAAAGCATGAGCACTAACTGTTCAAAGGTGAGAGCAGGCAAACATCCAGTAAAAGAGCAAAGCCCACATTAGAGATCACACAAAGATTTATCAGAAAGATTTGGTGTCCACAGCAAAAAGTTATATTCTGAAAACATGAAACACACTACAGCTATTCGACTTTACTGATCCATGTTCATTTTATCTTGCCACGAGACTTCCTTTCTACTGTCTTCTTTGGCTGGAACAAAAGAAACCAATTTTTCTTTTTAATCAATTAATTTTCGTTTCAATGAAAGGAGTAAGTCAAAATACTTTGTCTGCATGTGGTAGATTCTGCTGTGTATTCTTCAATCTCTACATCTAACAAAAGTCATAATCAAAGAGTCTTTTCTCAATACTGGAGATCCCAAGTCAAGAAAGCTTGCGCCTGGTAGGTTTTTTCTTCTTTTAAAAGTAAAACCACTGCAAATTACTTTTGATAGGCTACTTACACTTACATTCTAAATAAACTTCTGTACCGTATGTATCATTAAGGATAGGAAATCAAGTAAAATATAAAGTAATGCAAGCATTGTAAATAACTTGTTTACTTATAGACATTTTACAGGCTTTTTAGAAACCAGGATAGAAGCATATAATCTCTTCCTCTTTTGCTTAAAGTATTGGCATGTTTGGGTACAGTTATGCTGCAAGTTACCATTTCAACATACTGCTCTGCCTACGAACTCTTATTTTTAAACAGCTACGCTAAAGTAGCCCCTCTTGAACAGCATTACCCTGGAAAAATATGATCACATGTGGTCCAAGTGAACCCCCATCAGTAAGGAGATACCTCTTACCCAAAAGGATGAGCTGCTAAACAGAATAAAATGTAAACAAAGAATGATGGTGGCCTCCAGCCCTTGGAAAAGACGAGAGAGGCCTTGCAGGAGACTGAAGGAAGCTCAATGATTGGTATTTCTTGAAAAACACAAAATAGCAGCAACAACAACAACAGTCATGGCTAACTCTGAAGGCTTGGCAACCCACAGCTCCTATTGAAACTGATGGGAGACAAGGGTGCCTCTTGCTCTTGCAAGTTGCAGAGATAAAAAATTCTTGAGGCAGAGCCTCCCTAAAAATTCTGCAATGCTGTACTCCTGTACATATAGGAGGAATTGGAAAAAAAAATAGTTTTCCACTTAGCTTTACTTGAACATACCCTGAGACAGTAACAGTGATGAGTACTTCCTGTTTTTTCTACCAAAGCACAATGTAGAGGGCACTTTAGATGGCATTTAGACATTTACCATCAATTATATAGCCTTCAAAAATTGCTATTTCTAAGAGTCTAGTTGAGCAGCTCTTACCCAAGAAAACACAAACCAACTGCTACATGTTCTACTTATTTCATATGAAATATTTAAACAGTAAAATACACATCGTTTTGTTATTTCTCTGATGAAGGTGAATTAAATTATTTGCTCCTTGTCTAGATCATTTGCCCTGATTTTTCATGGCTAGACTAGCAGAGCCACGTACACTGGTTTTAAGCTTAAATCTGCACGTCTATAGGAGGGAGAATTAATTTCACTACACATTTGGGAAAGAAAAAAGGAAAAAACCCCATACATGCACATAGAAGCCCTTCAGGCTACTGAAATGGAGCACTCCAGCAGGCAGCTCCATGGAACAAGTCCATCCTCTCTGCTCTGTTACCTTCAGGAGACACAGAAGAGCTGCCCAGCAGCAAGGGATGCCATCTTCCAAACTGAACTCCTATGTCCATAAACGGGCTAGTGGTTGCAGCCCAAACCCTCTCCATCATGTCTACATGAGAAAAGGGCATGAGGCTGGAAGTGTGCCTCCTACACATTCACATAGCTGGGGGGGAAGTATCAAGACATCCTGCAGTTTAAGAGAACTCCAGGATAAGGATTTTGCCTTTTCAACTGCTATTGCAAAGGTTAGGTCCCTTAGGTAGCTGATGACAATTAACAGCATTTGAAGGATGCTCTTGCTCTTTTCTGCTCACTTGATTATTAAATCAATACACCATCACTGTCCATGGCTGAATTGCTTGTTTATTTTGCCCAATACAGTGGTATTTCTTTTTAAAAATCTCTCATTACTTATCTCTGCTGTCTATACTATACTTTAAACCTTTCCATGCAAGGCAACAAAAGATAAAGCTTCTCTGCAAGTAACAAACTTTGCAATTTGGTTTACACAAAAGAGAGTCAAACTTTTGAGTTTCACAGCAATATTCAGTCAGCTTGGTTTACAGGCACCATACTATTAACACTGGAGATACACATGCACTGAAGAGAGGCTTGGGACCACCAAGTGCAAGAGCACTGGAGATTCAATCTCATCGACAAGCTAGTCTCTTATAGTCTCTAGTCACCTATTCTCTTATGATCAAAGAGAAAATCAAATTTATGAAGATGAGGTTTATAAAGACTGGTTACATACTAACTTGCCGCTACACCCACAAAAAGGAAACTAATCCAATACTGTACCTGTGGGACTTCTTTAAGAAAGTCAGGAAGCTGAAATTCACCTTTATAGACCTGGAAAAAAACAAAAAACAATGTACTACTCAAAGCTAGCATTCACAACTGTTTAAAATGCTGAAGAGCTTGTTGGGGGGGGACTTCTGGGTTATTAGCATCCAGTAATGCTAAACCAGATCTACCTAAACTGAGAACAACCTATTTGTAAAAGCAAGTTTTATTCATGAGGCTTGGTCGTCCAAAGTAGTTCTATAGCTGTACGCTTGGTCCCAGGCTTGCTCTGTACTCAACACTCTGACCTTGTTTGCATTAAAATGGTAGAACTATGCAACTTGTATTACATTTCAAGCTTGCTCAAATTATTAAGTCCTGTGTAATCCATTCACTATGCTTTTAGAAAAAGATTTTTAACAGGATGATTAAATACTCTAGGAGTGGGTTGCTACACTACATACTTTTTTGAAGTTTATATAACAAATCTGTTGCTTCACATTTTAGCATCTTCAATAAATTAAGTTCCCTTTGGGCTTAATTACAATTTAGAATGAGAAGAGTCTCCATTTAAAGTCTTCTGAAAGAGCTACCTGTCATGATCTCATGGACTGTGTCAGAACTGATATACCAGCCAGACAACAACCAACATTCAGTTCTCTCAAACATTTATGTTTTACAGTTTAAAAACTCAACAAACAAACATCACATAACACAACATTTTCTGATGCATAATAGTATTTGTCATGTACAAAATACGTATCGTTCATGAAAACAGAAGTATCACACCTGAACAACTGATCCCCAACCTTACTATGCTGTCACAGGAAAGTTCTGTTAGTTTTCATATAGTTTATGGAGACAATGCAACTACAAAGTCTGGAAATGTTAGTAACTTAGCTTTCAACTGTGTTAAAATGGTCAACACTCATGGAGTGTCACCATCTCCTTCTATCTTATTTTACATATATCTATCCCTTTATTCTACATATCTAGCTGGTGTAATTTTCAGGTTATAAGAAAGTTAATGTATTTGCTTTAATCCTTAAAGATACACAGATACCATTATAATAGGTACAGATATATTACTAGCAATTTTCCCCAAGTACACCATGTCAGACCTTGAGTCACTTCGCAAACATACTGCGCGAGATCAGACACTTAACTCCTTCCCCCATAGGCTGTAACCACACATCTAAATCCCCGGCTCCTGGAGGGAGAACACAGGGTTGGATAAAGCTTAAGTTTTCCTTTATTATTTTCATACCATTTAGTCATTAATTTGCTTTTCATCTACAGAAATGTACCAAAAAAAAAAATCGGTGGGTTTCCTATACTAATAGACAAAGATTTAATAGCTTCACATAAGAGTACAGGTAAGTTCCACTTACTGGTAGGGCTGTCACAAAGTTACAGCCAGCAACTCCTGTGATTATGAAGTTCTACAACAACTGCAGCTTCATTACCAGCCTGAGTTCATCAGAGTTTGTCACTACCACCATTTCTAATGTTTTAGAGCATAATATTACTTTTGAAACAACATTGTTTGGAGAAAGAGCAACCAATACATATCCTCAAACATACCAACAGCCACACCAAACAAGTGTTTCCACTATTTAGGAAATAAAGAAATAAGGAAATATTAGAAAATAAACTGGCAATTGTCCTTCTCTCTAGAGGATACTTCTTAAAAGCTGTTTGCTTCCAAGATTAAATTGGAATACATTCGGGGGGGGAGGAAGTATTTTGGGATTTTTTGGTTGTTGTTTGTTTGTTTTTGTTTTGTTTGGGTGTTTTGTTTTGTTTTTTCCCAAAAATAAGTATACTTGAAAGGAAGAGTTTTACCACCTACTGAAACAACCGAACACCCTAATGTCATGAGTTCTTTGCAGTCTTGTGTAGCTGTAATCATATAAAAATCAAAAGCCACAAACCTACTTAGAAAAATTCTATAAAGCCATAAAATGGAAATGGGGCTACTCTAAAGCCTCGCTCAGAGTTAGACTCCCTGGTTTGCAAATTGCGTCAAAGGAAGAAGATTCAGGAAGTCAAGGGATGCTTGTTAATAATATCCATTTTCTCCGCTTTCCTATGAATAGATGACGAGAATATAAAGCCGTACTCATTTTGTCAATATACTGCAGTGGCCTCGCACCGCAGCTGAGTCAGCTCAGAATTTCCTGTCTGTAAGACGCCTCACCCCAAAACAGGCCTGCAGCATTAAACCATATGACTCATGTGGAGTGGACTTAGGAGCTGGCAGTTCTCGTTGCTCTTTATCACCAGGCTAAACATATCCAAACAACAAGGCTTCACTAAGTCCCAACATGAGAGTAGGAATTATTATACACACATTGCAGAACTCTCTTCCTTCCGATAGTCCATGTTTTAGATAAAATAGAAAGGCTGATTCAAAATGATAGGCACAGCTCTCATTTATATTCAGCTAGGGGGTACTGTCATTCCCATGGAAACCTTAATGAAAGCCACACTGGTCAAAAATTCAGCATGTGGCTTACTGGAGCCTAGATATACTATAAATATTTATAAAAGAAGGAGAGTATTTCATATTTTCAGCTTTTAACCAAGCCATTAAAATGCAGACTGTCTTCTAGAGCGCAAAAATGGAAGTTACAAATCAACAGTATTATCACATCAAAAAATGCTACAGGACAACCTAGGCAACGTTCACAAGAAAAATCAGTATCTTTTATTAGACTAGTGCTGATGTTGGAAGGAAGAGACAGACTTCTTCACCTTTTCTGGCAAACCACTGCAGTCATTTTCTGGAAATTCTTAAAAACAGTTAATACTGATGATGATGGTACATTGTGACTGGTTCAGAATCAGAGTGACCAAAACCATGTTTGTCTCTCTGGAGGGCTGCTTCTTTCCTTCTCCTGCAATTATGATTTGGTCTAATTTTTATATTATGTATCTATATATATACACTTGTCTGCTCTAAAAACCTTATCATTGTAATGCCCTTTGTAGCAACAGCATTTATTCCTAATAAGCATCAATAGTGGATAGTCAAGGGCACTCATGCATCAGCAATATTAAGAAAAATAATGACACTAATGTCATAGCCTGGAAAGATAAGGGCTTTTGATATTACATTCACGTTAAGTACCGCAATTTACACACCACAATTTACAAAGGCAAATCTAACCAATGACAGGCCCAAGAAGATGCGTCTAGATTAGGTTTAAAAAACACAAGTGTGCCTAAGTTTGGTTCGGAACTGACATTATCTAGAATGCTGGTTTTGTCAAGATTGAGACTGCATATAAACTGGTTTAAAGTAGTTCCAAAACCAGTAAGTGGTCCCTTTTGAATCAAAACCCAGGGATCAACTGCAATCCAGAAATTCTAAAAACAATGACTCCATGTGCAGCCAAAGAAATTAAAAGGTTTCAGATTCAAAATTCTTTTCTGACCAAATTTCTAAGTCTAAACACATTATTCAGAGAGTGGCAGCAAAGAGGCAGAAGGAGGACACTAGAATGATTTCCAGTCTAAGCAAGAATTCAGTAAAATTAAGCAGAAATGGTGTTTACCATTTCTAAGGGAATTATTTTGCAAGTCCAAATGGATTTCCAAAGGGGAGGGGAGGAATCTGAAGTCTATGTCAGTTTGTTTTTCAGGGTTGGCAGTATTCAAGTTGTTCTATTAAAAAAAGCAAAACAAAACACATTCTTATAGCCAAACTAAATGCGTATTATTCTCAAAAAGAGATCAGAAAAGTTTCACATCCAGTTGTCTGAGAAAACCCTTATAAATACACAAGAAAAACTTAAGAACAGAAGTGTAACTCAGAAGTGCAACCTGTAATTCATCTTCATAGAAGATTAAAGCACTCCTTTTCACGCACTTTCAAGCCTGGTTTAGAAAGAGTCACATTATATTTGGTCAGTTCCAGCACACAGAGATAATGGGTCTTTTTGTCTAAAAGTTAGCCTGCAAGTAAGTGTACTTGGGCTTGCTGGATTTTCAAAACATCAAAGTTGCAGAGTACAAAGCTATCGATGTTTAACTGTCAAAAAAAAAGGGGGGTGGGGGGGACACTGGCAAAAGCAGAACAGAGCCCCTTTCTAGAGACAATCCTTTACTGCACAGTACATGGAGGCACCTTCATCTTGCTCTTTCAGACTTTCCTTAACTTTTAAGGCAGCTTACAAGGCTTACACAATTCTTCACCTTTTTGTTGGAACTGCCAAGAAAGGGGACATCGGAGATGTAAATATTTACCCAGTAGGAACAACACAGAGAGCAAGATTTTAGACAGGCCTATGAATGTCTGCCAAAAGACAGCTTGCAACCATACCTAATTTTGTGTTTTGTTTGTTAATAACTCTGTATGCCTTACTAATCATATATATGTATAGTTGGTTTAAAAAAAAAAAAAGAGAAATCAGCACCTCTGGAGAAAAACAATGCAGTTGGGAATCGACATGCTGGAAGAAACACCCACTAAGGAGCGTATTAAACAAATTTAAAGGACACTGAGAAAGCCTGTGCTGTTGGTGGTCACAAGACAGATGAAATAAAAACCGCAATTTTTGTTTCAAATGAGAGAAAATGCCCACAAAGCCAAATGCCTTTATGCTTAACTTAACCAGCATAAATAGAGATGCACAGTCTTGAGTAGCCTGTCATTACAGCATACCTCCACAATTACACATCTTTGACGACACAAGTAATTATTCTCATGCATTAGTATAAATATACTTCGCACCCTTTATCAGAGATTGTTTGTTTCTTTAAAAACTCAAACACAAAGTCTTGAAATCATGACTGTCATGGACGTCTCGACTCTGAACAGCAGGAGACATTTCCTCACAATTTAAAACAGGCACAAAACAGGAGTTAATAAAACTCTTTTTTCTTCTAGATGTTACTGCAGAAAATACCATCGACAGAACACAAAACAGAGATAGATAACGGCTTTCGGATGTGATTAGAAGAATCCACACGTATTTAAACAGTCATGATGAAAACCATAGCTTTTTCTATACAGGTTTGTACACTTCCATCTCTCAATCTCTCCAGGGCAAGGACCATAA